TGCGTTATCTTAATCTCGCGTTATCCACCAAGTGCGAAGATGAAGGTCATTCTCGGCCTTTTCTCCGGTTATTGTGGCGCTGTGTTAGTAATAGGTCAACACCGAACTACGATTGATATCGAATTCGAACAATTGTTAAGCAAATACCTTATCAAAATTACTTATATAAACGATAGAATACTTTTTGATTTATATTTCGCCTGAAATAATCTATTAGTTCATGACAACTAATGTTTCGCCAATTTTCTGATAATATTCACAAATTTTGACAACGCATCTGGAACTATCTGATAATGAATGATTAACCGCAGATTAGTCGCATCTGTGTCAAATATACGTATATTCTCTTTTGTCAATTCGGTCTGAAGAACATTAGACGTGATGCCCAATGGAGAAATATCCATCCATATCATATTGGTATGAACTGGCTTGGTTATCAAGACACCGCATTGAGATAGTTCGGAAGCAAACTGACGAGCTAGTTTGTGAGTTTCCCGAAGCCGGGTTGGATAATTAGCTTCTAATGCATGTTTGGCGGCTGCTGCTATTGGTCCGGATTGTCGCCAACTACAATAGATTATGCAGGAACGTTAGTAAACATATTAAATGTAATCTCCCAACAATTAGTATTGGTCAACTTACCCTCCGCCAAATACCTTTCTAAAATGTCTTGCCTTTTTTATAAAATCTTTACTGCCCACAAGCATGCTTCCCATAGGCGCCCCTAAACCCTTCGAGAAGCATAAACTTATCGAGTCAAAGTGCTTTGCATAGTCTTTAATACTGTCTCCAGTCTCTGCACACGCATTCCACAGTCGTGCTCCGTCGAGATGCATTTTTACATTATTTTCTCTTGCTACAACAGAGATATTTGCAATCTCGGATAGCGGAAATAACGTTCCATTCAACGTATTCTCAAGCGCCACAACACGTGTTGGTGCATAGTGTACATCGTCGGAGACGATAAGGCTGTTCATGACATCTTTGCGTGTCATGTGGATGGGATTAGACGGATGAACGGGAATAACATGCGCACCAGAATGGTATGCCAATCCGCCAGTTTCGTAATTGTAAATGTGAGAACGAGCGTCGAGAAGTACGGAATACGGAGGTTGAGTTAGGTGAGTGCGTAAAGCGAGTTGATTACCCTATATTGATAACTTCGTTCGTTAGCTCGCACGGGCTGTTGAGTATGACAAAGCAAATAACTATAGTTTTACCATGGTTCCGGAAGCAACAAACACGGCCGATTCGTATCCTGTGAAATCAGCAATGAATTCCTCGAATTCGTTCGTCGTCCTGTCTTCCTTCAGTGAATAGCATCAAGCTCTGGTTGTTATCCTCGTTTGATGGCTTTGTTTACAATGAGCGTATTTATTACCTCAAACACATCATCCCCAAGACTTGCCGTTCTCATAGCTTCGAACATTGCTGTTGTAGGAACAGTAACTAATGAAGTTGAATTCATTAGTTATTGCTCAAATTATCGTCTTGGAATATGCAGCGTGCAGCATTACCGGTATCGCTTCGAAAATCATATGCGGCATCACGAACACTATATGAAAGAGTTGGTGCTTGTTTGTATGATTGTTCTTTGCCAAAATACGTTCTCCGCGAAACGTGTACTGGTAATAAAAGGTTGCGTAAAAGACGTGTATTGTTCATTTCAAAGGATGGTTTTGCCATCACTCATCATACGTAATCTGACGATCAACATTCGTGTAACCGAACTTGTAGTAAAAAAATTAGGTAACAGAAAATTTCGAGGGAAAAGGATTGATGACTCAAGGCTTTGGTTCTTACAAAAGTGTCGGAAATTATCTTCAACGAAAAATGTCGAACAAGGCTTGGGATTACTTTTATCGCATCTCCAGAGTCTGCATTCTAGTCATGAAATATCGCGTCTATCAGGTTTTAAATATCATCTTCCAATGAAGGCGATACAGTAAAGGATTAAGCAAGAAAATGCCATACTAGCTCATTTGGACAAGGATTAGTTTGAGTATGAAACAATGTCGTCCACCCGCATGTCCGCACTTTATTCAGGGACAGATTCATTACCAGTTTCATATAATGTACTCTATGTTTTTCTTATACATTCAACCGCAATGGCAACTAACAGTAAACTTGCACGATTTATTTTTAATTCGACCCATATTGAATTATTTAATTAGAGGAATAAAACCGGCGAAACACAAGCCCATTGTCAAAAACTCATTGAATATAATAACTGGATAACTTCATATTTACACGGATTTATTAATAAACAGTTCTCTTAAATTAAATTACTTTCTTTCATGTTTGAGATATCAATTAACGGGTTTGTCTATAAACGGCTGTAGAATATATCAATTACGTGCGTAACGAAACGAAGTTATAATTAATATTCAAAGCGAATTGGTTGTTCCTTAGTTCTTAAACCTCTAGTTGACAATCGCAGGTGATACAAAGCTAAAATTGGTAACATCATCGAAAGAACGAAACCACATCAGTTAAATCAATATTGTTTTTTGATATAAAGATAAGTATTTATTATTCGTACAATACCTCGCCTCATTTCGCATCCGAATAATATTTTTTTTGTTTGGATCGGTTATTCCCGGAAAGGTAGGCAAACAACAAGGAGAATAAGGCGGATCAAAAGAAAGATACAGTATAAAGCGCGAATCGATGATGCGTATAGATGAATAGCAGACTTTGCTTGCACAGCCATACCAACTTTTTTTTTCTAAAAACGTAAACGAGCTATTAAAATAAGCCGTTGTTAGAACAGCAATGCCCTCATACCGATATCTAAACGTTTGTATTTATGGATTATTTCGAACGCATCTGCGTTTCATTCAATCCTGTTTTGACTCGACAACCTATGGAATAACCGACATTCCCACTTTCTCAAGCCGTAGTCAATAACCATTCTCATTCATCAACTGGTTTTATTGAGCATGTCTAAATTATTGTTGAACGTAATCGGCATCTAATTCTCAGCACCTAGTTGGGTTTCTCCAACCCGCGGTGGGTTAATAATTCTCCGGGAATGTATTGTTGATTATTAGTTTGGTACTCTGTTAATAGCAGGTTTTCGTTATATCCGGTTTTCGTATATCCAGGTTTACTGTGTATGTGCTTTTCTCTCACTCACCACCCCCCACTTTTCCCATGGTGACTCCTTTTCAACGAAAACTGATGATTAATTTGCTACCTGCTATTTCATAAACGTATTATGTTAAAATAGTTTCTGTTATTTATAAATAAAAAGTGAATATGATGCGATAAAGATCTCAATTAATGAATTGAAATAAATAACAAGAAATGAAGACAAATTTTCCAACTCTTAACGTAAGTTCGATATAGTCTGATTTTTGCGATTATTGTAATTTCGAGGGAGAATTAGTCCAGAGGGCCGATGGCAAAAAACTTTATCCTAATGCTAAGTGCGTTATAGGATTAAATTATAAAAAAAGAGTAAAAGAGGGTTATTGTTACTAATGAAATATTCTTTCGATACTACAACTGAAGTAGAGACAAAGATATTACATAGAATACGATAACTGAAGACGATTTCTCGCGTTGATGGTGCCGATGTGACTGTTTGATTGTATGTAAAATTGTGAGTGTTCGTCGTATATGCAAAAATACAACAGTTTGTTTTGAGGTACTTACTCGTTATTTCTGTCGGATTGGTAATTTTGCCTAACTAAATATTATGAAATAAAGATTTCGTTCCGCTTATCAATTGTCTTTATGTATACCACTTACACCGGCACTGTCATAGTAAATACATCGGTCAGCTTAAGATCAAATAGTATACAAAGTGTTAAGCTTTTACCGAAAACATGTAGAACCTTAATCTCCGGGTCAACGAGAGCGGCAAAAAGACGCTTCTGAAAGTCATCACATCAAACCTATTGATCAGTTACCTTTTTTGGGAAAAAGACATTCATCGCGTTGATGGTGTTATTTACTCACATCTTTGGCTCTTTGTCCATTCCGTTATGTGTTGATGGCGATTATAAGCCAAATTGGATTGTATGCAGATACGATTGTGAAAGCGCAATTGCATGCAGAAAAAAAATCATTGCAGACTCTCCAATAATGAGAACAAATGTGCAGCAATCACATGCGTTCCAATAATTACATCGAAAGCTTATGACATCACAATAATGAAACAATCGTTTATTTAATGACCTAAATACGAAGACTTCACATTGACAGCTTGTAAAAGAATCAGGGTGCAGTCCGCCATAAAAAGAAAACTTGGAACCCCCTACATATTGTCTCAGATAATACGATAGGCGTATGTCGTCTATTCAGAACTTTCGATGATTTACATGATATATTTTTTAACTTAATATGTGAAATGTACTTTTCACCTACTTTAACCCGGGGAATGTTCTTCTGCCCCCGTTATGGATAGTGACAGACCCATTTACCATCAATGATAAATTGTTTGTCAACATCTCTCTATTATTTGTTATTTACGTTGCAGATTACATAAAATATACGTCAATTCACTAATCCCTTATTTTTCAACCTTTGTAGTAACATTTATAACACGACATTGCGTAACATATGAGTCGAGGTGGGGGTATGCATTCGGTTACGTTAGTGGTGCGAGGTTAATACGCCAAAGATGATTCAGGATTAAATTAGCCTAACGCTAATATTTCAGCCCGGCTTCCAGTATTAATAAAAGAACTGTACAATATTTATGCTCTACAGTAAGAGCGCGTGAAGTTTCGTCAAGCGTCTGATTGGATAACCCAGAACCACTATGATGCATGATGTCGAACGGTTGTAACCCAAGGATTCGGAACTCGTGTTGTCCAGACCGATTACTTTTATACTCCATGTGTATAATCCCTAATATACTTGTCTCTTTTAGAATAAAAGTCACATGCCCTTGTCCGCTCTATTGATCACAACAATAAGTTCACCAATTATAAAAGAACGGAAAATTTCCGAGTGCTATTCCTGGTATTGCTAAGAACTACTGAACCGTCATGAAAATTTACAGAGCACAAAAAGTATTTATAATCCTGTTAACTCTACTTCATGCAGTCTTGTCCAAAGGCGGCGGAGGCGGCAAAGGAGGCAGCATAGGCGAGGGAGGAAGTAGCAGTAGCAGCGGAAGTGGCGGAAAAGGAAGTGGAGGAAAAGGAATGTCATCGACCAGCGGGTACAGAGGAGGAGGAGGGCGTTCATGGGTCTTCTTCTACTACTCTGGTGATGGTCATCGAACGTGTGGCAACTGGTGTATTGTAACTATTGTTATCCTATCTCTCATTGTCTTGACTACACTGCTGTGCTGTATATGTCATTGCTGTCGACGACGACGCTCCATGAAACGGCGAAACGTGGCATCAAAGCCGCTCGTATAAATCAACGCAAAAACCCACTTTTATTTACACCACAAAACGATGTATAATATATACGCCAGAAGAACACTCTTGGATATTGCACACATCGAACCGCTGTTCACGAAAAATCTAATCAGCTGTTGGGGAAGAAGAAGAATGTGATTGATATGCTATTGTGAATGATATCTCATCATATACATCCCCATTAAGTCAATACGCCGACATTTTAGGACAGTGACTTTATTGTTTACAGTAACTCAATCAGAATCGGGTACACATGTAAACGGAAACGGTCAGCAAAATAACCATTTACGAATAATGTGTGAAATGTTACAATAATCAATAATGAAGAGTAATAGTAATATCTCAGTTGTAGAGAACGAAAATTTTAGTTTTTTTGACAAAAAAAAAATCCAGTATTTTATTATATTAATTAATTGCGTAGTCGAGAAAAAGGCCTAAATAAAGAATGTTTGTTGTTGCACAATGACGCCAATTTCCTTATATGTCAAATAGCACTACATTCAGAAATTGTAAAAAAAACGTGCAAAATCACTCTCAGTGCGTTAGGCCAATCATTTATAAACATGTGACTGTGTCATTTCGACGCATGGTCATTTATCAAAAGTACACTTACTTAACCTCGTGGTTATATAAATAAGATGAACTTTCATTCATATTGCTTATATAATTCGGAAAAGGGGAAAATTAATTCAAATTTTCATCTGCAAATATTTAACAATTTACAATGTCGACGAGTACCTGTGTCATATTCGAGTGGTTACTCTATAAAGACAGTGGAATTTATTACGAGCAGTGTTATCATATCTGGTAACAATGGAACAAGACAAACGAAAAATCAAATGAGAGCATTACTGATGTTGAATAAAGAGTTGCTTATATTCGTGGCTAAAATTTTATTCTCAGCATGGGAATTGCTTTCGGGGCGGGTTCTATTTTCGGTTATACGATAATCTTATCAACAAGCTTAATGACTTTGTGCAACTACAAAAATAACGTGAGGTAGTTGGGAAGAGACGGAATCAAATCTGTTTAGGTTGTTCGCAACCTTGCCGAATTGGACTGCATAAAGTTGAACAGGCTCGTGATTTAAATTAAAGAAAGTTCGCAAGGGATTGATCAAGTCTACAAAAAACTTTTAAGACTTTTAGTTGGGTTATCGCATGTATTGGGAGTGGCGGGCCAATATGTTGATAATACAAATGATCGATGTTTTCACAGTGATTATTTCCCTCAAGTAAAATAATTGTCTACAGTTTTGTTGTAAAAAACCCGATCCTATTTTGGTACGAAATAGTCACGGTATTATAAACAATTAACTTTTATTGTACTGAGTAAAAAACCACCAATTACGTTACATCAAGTACCCCGGTTAAGTACCTTGACACACGACATTTGTGTTACATACATTACCAGGATTCATCTATTACTATTTTTACGACTAGAATTTCGACAATGGGTTTTCTTAATTCAAAAAAAAAACGACATCTAATTGATTACCGTATAGCACTGGTTCTAGTACCCCCCTAGTATAGTACCCCCTTGATTAGTACCGGGTCTTATACTAGTCTCTTCTCATCCGTTTTGGTAAAGTACCTAATCAATTTATAGATTCTAATTATAACCCACTAATTATTCCAACAATTGACAAAATCCGTCGTATTTGCAAGGTAATAATCACTTTCGACCGTATCTCTAACATCACCAACATTCGCGTTATCAACTATTTGCTTCCTCCTCTACGATTATTATCTAACAATGGTCACCTGGTATAGTACCCCCTAATACCCCTCCTCACGCAGCAGTGCTATACGGTAGTTGGTAAACTGTGAACGTATACTAATTTGGAAGACAATCGGTTCGGGCATTACACACATTCTCATCAAAGCGTCAGTTATTCTACTGCGTAACCCGTCTGTAGTCGCCTTTGTTATCATTCACATAGCCTCATATCGGAATTTGCGTTTGTTTAATCTTTGAATCAAGCCACACAGTATTTCGGGGCTGTGCTCCAAACTGAAATTGATAGAGATTTTCAAAATCTCTTTGTACGCCCGAAACATCCGTTTTATTTTCTGATAGAAACCGACTTGCATATAATAAGGGGAAGAGCATTCTCGACTCTGTCTATTGAAAAGTCTAGTTTTATAATCCCTGACTGCCAGGAGAGAAAATATCAATTTTTATTCCTTCAAAAACACCATAATTTGAACCATATCCCTGACTGCCGGAGAGAAAATATCAACTTTTATAACACCATAATTCACCATGAAAATCAACTTTCGGATAACACATCTATTAATCATTTTGATATTATTGCTAATTAACGCGAATGTCGTAATATCTAAAGGTGGTGGGGGAGGGGGCAAAGGAGGTGGTGGAGGAGGAGGAGGCAAAGGCGGTGGCAAATCAGGCGGATATGGTGGTTCTTCAAGCGGATCCGGCGGCTATTATTCAAGCTGGACGTTCTTTTACTATTCTGATGATGGCAGACGGTACTGTGGCGGTTGGTGCATTGTGACTTGCACTGCCGGTGGACTCGGCATCCTAGCCGCATTGATAGTCTGCTGTTGTCGCTGTCGTTGTTCCTGCTTACGACGGCGGAAGCGAAATAAAGTATCGATCGAAAATCCAATGATTCAAGATTTCTACAAACAAAGATTATCGGCAGAGACACAACCGCCAACGCATCCATTATTAAAGACATATCCTGATAGTCAAGTTAACATCAGCAGTGATCTTCCCGGATACAACGCAGTCCCACCTGCACCGGAACCTATACACTGGCATGGAAAGAAAAACGACGCTTCGCCAGAGTCGTTCGCTGCTGGTGAAGAGTTTACAAGAGCATACCCGCCTCTAGAGATGTTACCTCCCGCCGACCATCTAGAGTTCATTAAAAACAGGGGTGTGCACGCTTGGAGATTGTCTTATGAAACGAGTGCGTTGCAAAACCTGGCGACTATTACAAAAGATGGTCTCGGTGCTAAATTTCTCACAAAGGGTGATGTTACCGTCCAATCGAACTATCCATTTTTCAGTTTGTCCGAATCCCAATCAGGCGTTCTGCATTACTTTGAAATAACGGTGCTTTCCAACAAGTCTCCTGCTTCCACCACGATTGCAATCGGTCTCTGTACTAAACCATATCCCTCTTTCCGCTTACCCGGATGGAATCTTCACTCGGTCGGATATCATTCTGATGATGGACATAAATTCAATGATGCATACGGCGGCAGAGAATACGGTCCCTCGTGGGGTGCAGTTGGAGATACTATCGGTTGTGGATATTACGCGGATACCGGGTTTGTGTTCTTTACGAAAAACGGGAAATTTCTTGGAAATGCATTCACTGGCATAAGACACGTATGGTTTCCGAGTATTGGCGCTGATGGTAAATGCGAAGTTGATGTTAACTTTGGATCGAGGACATTTGTATATTCGGGTGCTAATGGTTTTGGGGCTGGCGGGGCAATAATAGCGGAAGAGAAATGGTGCTAAAGTGTGATAGCACGAAAGCAATCAGGGTTCCACTCTCGTGTTTTCTTTTCTGTAAATAATAGAATATTTGTAACTTGTATATTTATATATGTGACAATTGAACATTAAATAACCTTTAACAGATATTATTGTTATAAGAAATGCGAGACATTTTACCTCTTGTACAAAAAATTGGGATACTTACTCAACACGTCAAAGGCTGTAAGGAGTGAGAAGTGAGATAATTCATATGCTCGAGAATTCAGCCCATCGTTTTTTGCAGCGGGATTATGCGCTTGGCTTTGATATTTTCAAAACACACCTTTTGCGCTTGACCATTTCTCTCACCAATGATATCATTCTTGCCCGCAATGAGAATTTTGTATATATGCCTCTTTTCCAATTTATCACCCGATAATGAGAGGCAATCGCGTATCTAAAATAACTTGGCTGATTGAAATAGCTTGACATATAAGGGAAGTCAAATATCAAATTTATGATTGGGGTTCAATAAATAAGGGATCCCATTATTAACATTATACATTTATTTTTAATAGCACCCCATCATTATGGCTGCTTTGCATAGTTAGAGACAGACTTGAAAGCGCAGCTATTTTTAGGTGTTATTATGACTGACCTCTTTATAATCCTTGTAAGCATGAAAACTTGCTAATGTCTGTTTATCCAACAACATAATATATTTGGCTTTGCGTCAGTCTTTCAATTAAAAACTTTACACAAGTCAATAATCCCACTGTCACATAGCTATCGTTTTATAAACAAGTACACTGTTGATAAAATCGTATATGCAATTTGTTTTAAAATTCACAGAATACGGTTAGCTTCACAAATAAGTCGATGTACTGCTTGTTTTCATGAAATCATTATAGTCTTGCTATTTGTCAATATTTACCTTTGAGTTTGTATATTAAATAAATTAGTGTTATCGAACATGTGAATCGCCGAGACACTAATCTTAATTTGCTCTCCCAACGCAAACAGTTGGCGTTACACTGATTTTCGAACGAGTGGCTTGTTTTGTTTTTCCATTTCGCGCGGTTAATATTCACGCCGGGTTAATTTGCACCGTTATGATTGAATTTGTAATATATTTACAATCATTTGATAATATATCCCACGAGTTTAACGATTTGTAATATTTATTTTGTTACGAAATATAATTTTCTTTCCCGAAAGTTGAACCGCCATAACATTTGTATATGCGGCGAAAGCCATCTGCACACAATCGGTCATTTTTAACTTTAAATTGCAGTTATATTATTATTATGCAAATGATCGGATACTTTTCTCCGGATCAGCATTGCGGATTGTGCGTGCCAAGAGGACATGTTTATTTTTGTCCTCCAGTGAAAAATAAAGGTACCACATCATACAACTACCATTGTGAAAGCTGTCGTCATTTTTTGCCTTAAAGACGATGGGGAGACTCGAACGTATCATTGGTTGATTATTAACATGAATAGAAAAAATATACTTCCATAATTAGATAAATTTATCCCGACAATGAAATAACCATGTCAAGGCAACACTGTAATAAATACCCACGGGCTTTGTGTTAATGGCGAATTTGGCTCTCTGGATTGCGTTTATTCAGTTGTGAAAGGTTGAATTAAAAACTGCTTTTTTGCATGTGCAAAGGTCAAATTCACATTAAACCAGTTTATGCTTGTTCCGTTTGCCATCGCTTCTGTTTCCAAAACAAAACTCTATCAAAACCTTTCCGCCTATTAATACAGAACACCTTTCCATGAATTCCGTGCTTTTCTTTCGTTAGTTACATTAAAATAACCATAATTATGTTTGATAATAACTCTGAAATAGTAATTCGGATTGTTACACGAGACATGTTTTCACAATATAACTAAATAATAATTATTTTAACTACTCTTTATTTCTGATCAACTCTGCATCAGATAAAATAGTTGTTCCCTTTTTTCGTTCACAAATTATCTTTGTACACACACGCTATAACAGTAACAATGCATTCTACGAGTAATCGACTATTACAGGTATAATACTGATAACCAATGTACCTTAATTCTACTGACCGACGTACCCAATATCCTGTTTGTCAATCAGGCTTACAGGCAGGCTTACACAAAGATAATTAGGTTTTTATATATAACTCTCATACTAATATAGATACCGTGACCGACCAACCAAGGCAAGCAAATAAAATCTATAACATAAACAAATCGTAATATACGTAATAATCGGTAAGGGCTCATCGCACGATCCTTTCAAGCTAGTGTTTTCTTGGCATTACACTGAACACAGAAAACTCGACTTTTTGTCCTTGTATATTTTTAGTATGGGCTTACGCCTATTTGTAACCTACTAATAATCTCGCTTTTATAAAAGCCCATCAATATTCAAGTTTGCACAAAAGCTATCGGCGAGAGGGAAAAATGTCTTTGGAAATGCTCTCACAATCAGAGTTTAACCAGTCTCCGACCGCGTCTACTACTACTGTTGCTACTACTCCTACGACTAGTACTAGTACTATTGCTAGTGCAACAACAGCTACTACTACAGCTACCGCTACTACTGCTACTACCCCACCTCCATTAGCACTCGATCGCTCACCTATACCACGAGCAGTATACAAATACTCTGATCTAGACTACCTCGTCTCATCAACGACCACATTAGCAGACGAATTGACATACGCGGACATTGGAGCACGTTGTGAGAAAGAATTTGGTTTTGATCGAGGAGCATATAATGCGACGGTCAAAGACTATTCCAAGACAGGTGTCTCTAACCGAGACAATTTTGAAACAGGCGCAAAATCGGAAAAGACGGTAGACAATCGGCCCGACTTGGACAGATATGCCATATTCCTTGCATTAAAGCACGATCTTTCCACTCATCATATTGATGAGAATATACATAATGAGAAAAACATTTATAATGACAATAACATTACCCAACATTCTATATGTGACATTCCATCTCCGACTCCTCCTCTTTCTTCATACCAGTCCAGACCGTTTGGACTAGCATCTCCTCACTTTCCACATCATTCTTCTAGTCGCTCTTGTATCATGCCCTCTTATCATTCCTCTCCCAACTCGTCTCAATCTTTTTATCTTCCTGGCAATAGTGCCGCAAACTTGTTTGGCAACCGGAACGCACTATATGATACTGATGAATCGCATCGCATAGTCTCAAAATGGCTGTTCTTTTTCGGATTTTTGATTATGCCTTGCTGGTGGGTGGGGGCGATATACGTTGTCAAGGAGCCGACACCCGATGATTATAAATGGAAAAAATTATGTATTAATGCGAGCATTTGGGGACTTGTGGCGCTTGCTGCTATCGGGGTGATTTGGGTATGCCTTCATCCGACTGCGTTTGGGTCAAAATAGACAAGATGGGCGTGCGATGGATTGATAGACTTGTGTAACGAAAAACGTAATTATTAATGAACCTTTTTGTAAAAAATTTCAGTTTCTTTTTTAATATCAAATTAAATTAATGTTTACTTTAAATGAGAAAATTTTTTGGGTTAGATCCTATGTACAAATGTGTCATATAGTCGCATAAAACCCTTGTATGACGTGGAGACTACTGTCACATGTTGGTTGAAACGAAAGGGAGAACAGAGGAGAAATGCGATGCAAGCCAAGACGTCGCCCAACAGCTTACAACTAAAATAACTTGGAATGCATAACATGTCCTCTACAGCACACCCAACAGCTTACAAGGAAAAGATTGTATAGATAGTGCGTATTCTAAAGACGAGAGGAGGATGACATCGGACTAAAAAGACTTTACCTTGGCCAAGTCTTGTCAAACGTCGTACTTTTATTCGAAAAATTTACTGCTAATGTATCACAACACCATCGAGTTGAAATTATACTCTTGTCTCAACGGCGTTCATACCGATCAGACTTGAATAATGTTGCTAAGAATTGTTTCTCGGCTATCCTGATACATCAGACAGGCATGTTTGTCGTAGACTTTGATATTGTGATTTGGGTTCACGATTGCGTGATTATGATATCATTGTTAACTAGATTAAGACCGGTCAACATTTGCGAGTTGTTCTAGTAACTTGTTTGAGTAACATTTTCAATTTTACTCACGCTAATACTATTGATGCGTTACGTAATTCAACAGACAGACTGTTCAAACTCGAAATTGCAGACAATGCTTATGTCCAGCAACGAAATAGACCAATAGTCTACTAAACTTGCAAAATTAATTCAAGTCAACTAGTAAATTTGCAAACCCAATTTTTGTTTCGTAGGCATCGGCGATGTAAACTATGGAAAAAAAACTTTGCTGGAATAATACAGCAAGAGATTATACACCAATCACCCCTTAATTCTATAACAAACAATTCTAAACGCCATATAATTTAACCTGAAAACCTATAATAATAAGGAAATAGTTGGAATTACTTATGTCTATGTAACAGAATACTAACATTATGACGTAAATGTTTAAAATTATAATGTAATCATGCAAATTTGTATTTATACAAAGTTTCAACAAAAAGTTGTTAATAATCAGAACAGCTGCAGCGTCGTTAACTTAACAAATGTATGCAAATTTTATCTGAAACTCGAAATATAGTGTTACGTTCATGACGTAACCGTAATGTGTGCATTTACCTTGCAAGGCAAGTCCTTTATATGTCTTACGCTGCACACATTGTGAGCATCATCTAGTAAACACAAACTGGACTTGAACATGAAATCTTCATTGGAGCATGGATATTCAAAAAAAGCGCAATACATGATACAATAGAAATTATTGTGAAACTGGTGCCACTACGCTTCTTACATTTCGCATCTTCAAAAGATTGTTCTACAATTTGTAAACCAAATAAATGGTAGCTTTTGACCTATTCACGTTGCTGTGACCGGTTGCAGTGGTGCCAGGTGCAGAAGACTAAATTAACTATGACGTATTTTCTCCCTAATTCTGACAGATTCTGTGCCACTCAAATGGAACGTTGTCGCGGCAGCGTAAAAACTAATAAGCGTTACTCAATTATAGCCGTACTCTCCTCATAAGCATTTCTTATATGGGACAGACTGCAACAAAAGCAGATAAAGTGAACATTAGATCACGGGAGACAAAGAGGCTGGTGTGGCTGAAAATGAACTAATTAAAGCTAATAAAATTTTGTGAGGCTTTGCTTGATTTATAACTGTGGTTCATGCACCATGCAAATTAGTTTTTAATGACCTAAGCGAATGCGATCCTCACCTCCTATATAGTCACATCTCCTATACAGTCACGGGCTGTTCCGGTCCCAATTATTTTTCATAGTAATTCGCCTCCTTTACAGTCACAATCATATTATCGCACAGTCACCCGATTTTGAATTCCCGCACAATATGAAAAATTCTCACCAAATATTTGTGTTACATTAAAGATATTTTAAATTATACTTTGTAATAAAAATAATAAATGTTTGGATAACATTATCAATTAAGAACATTATTCGCATCATTAGTACAACAGAAAATGTTTCATTGATTAAATATCGCTGTAAGTCGAGCATAAAAATAAGTCAAAGCATTAATCTAAAACACGATCTCGACTGAGTATAGAAAATAAACGTAAAATTTGTGAATATGCTAGGTGACTGAAGCATAGCGATATGGCAAATTATTTTTAATGGGAAGTTTAATCTTACGATTGATCGTTCGACTGTTAGCAAACCAAACAATGTAGACATAGATGTTAGCGACTTGCGTGTTTTCTGCAAGTATATGAATTTACTTAATCTCAAAGAATTCCAATCAAAGCGTCAACAAAATATATTGATGCTTACTTTAGTGCTGGTTAGATACCGATATTAATATTGTTGATTTTAATTTTTTTATCTATATAAGTCATAATAAAATAACAGAATTATATTAAGATAAGTCACATGACTAATGGAAGTTTTCCTTCTATACAGTCACAGGTTTTATCTGTAGAAGGGAATGTTAATCGAGATACTGTAATGCAAACAGTGTAAATAGATAATGTGACATATGGACTTACCCTAGCCCAAAATATATATGCATCGCAAAATGGAGTTTGTTTAGTTACTAGTAACTGCGAAGCAAAAAATAAAGCTTTATTACTATTACTTTGTGGTTAAAATCACTTATATTAAAATGTGTACCTACCGAAATGTATTCCACGAAGCGCGATTGACGCATTATATGAACCTATAATTACCCTAACTCCCGTGCCTTCAAATATCTCGTAACTTGTGATCGATAACTCCCGAAATTTTTTCAAACGTAATTTTCTACAAAACCACTCCGTATTTTTCACTCAAACTTTTTCCTGACTTTACATTTCCAAAGGAACCCATAGAGGAGAATAGGTAACATATGTTTTTATCATAGGACTGTGATTCTTTACTTTAAGTTCCACTTAGTGTGCGGGACACCTAAAAGAAGAAATTAGCAGGAGAGAAAAAAATATTATTAATATAGGTAAAAATTTGATTAATTTGTTATCTAGCATTTTTTTTATTTAATTTTTTCGATAATTTCTTCAAGGATGTTTATTGACTCTAAACTTTCATCTAGAAAAAATCTGAAAACCAGAAGTTTTGTTCTGATCACTTATTAATCACATGACATTCGTCCAATAAAATTCTTTAAAATCATAATGCAAATTTCGCTTTATTTCGAAGTCTGCAATAAACTCCGGGTCAAAATCATCTCTGTGTAAACTCGGAATTAATGTTGCACATACTTGCTTATCCCTTAGACTGTTTTCCGTTCAAATTTGAACGGAATTTTGATTCACTGACAAAATCGCTTTATATCTCCTTT